CCAACACTCTTAGCATTTCTTAAGCTTTCACCAGGTAGTTTATTGTTAATAGTATCTAGCTTCTTGTAGTTTGAAAATACTACATTTAATGTGAAGAGAGTGTGTAGAGAAAAATAAAGATGTTCTTGAAAATTCCTTTTAAAATTGCCCTTGCACCACCGCACTTGGTTCTATTATGTCAGGAATCACATTTTGAATCTCAGCGAATAAAACAACAGAGATAATGACTTCTCATGTCTTGCCGAGAGCAGAGTGGTCTTCATAGGAAAAATAAATTTGCATCCGGACATACACATAACAGACAATTTAATTATGCACAGAAAGTTCTTCATCATCTGGTCCTTAACCATGTGGAGATGGCAAATAAATTCAATATGCAAAAAACAATGTTTGAAACAAATACTAGTAAAAAAATATATCCCATTGCTGCAGACTAGATAAAAGACATTTTTATGTACAATCTCAAAATAATAAGAAAATATATGTCAATGAGATAGAGGACTGGGTCTTTGTGAGAAACATTCTCAGAGGAGACTCTACAATCACTGCGTCACTAAATCGGCGTAACCCCTAACTGCACTCTAACTATTTGCTCTTATGTCCACAGATTTCTTTATGGAACAGGGGGAGATTATTAAAGGAAAACACAGCCAATCCAAATGCAGAGTTCCGGAGATCAGTTCCAGCTGATGCGTCTACAACACACTCCTGAAACTGAGGCTCCGAGATTGAGATCAGTGTGGAAGAAGGGGTGGAGAGATTGCAAGAGCCAAAAGAACAGGGAGTCCTCTGAGACTGTGCCTCCTATGAATGGCAGAAGCTGCACCCGTAAAGGCTCACGGGCATAAATGCACAAACATGATTTGATAAGGATAACATCAAAGACATGTTGATAAAGATGGGGCGGGAGAACTCAAGAGTTTTCAACCATCCACAGAGAACTACTAACAACTAAGGAACACTGAAAGAGGGAGAAATAGTTTTCCCCAGGGAAGAGCATGTCAGTTGGTTATCCGATACCAAATGATCAGCCTAAAATCATACAGCAGATTAGGAAGAATATGTATATATCCATACATATTCTTATAAAATGCAAACTCTGCATTTTAATTGTTTGTGCTCTTCCGTAATGGTCTCCCCCTGTTACATAAAGAAATTTCTGGTCATAAGAACAAATATTTAGGGTTCAGTTAGGGATATAATTGAAGTAGTGATTGTAGATTCTCCTCTAAGGAGATGATAGATAGATAGATAGATAGATAGATAGATAGATAGATAGATAGATACATACATACATACATACATACATAGAAAGAGAGAGAGAAAGAGATGTTACAATATTTAGTGAAAAAAGAGACCATGAATTTAAATTTGAAAGAGAATAAGGAGGGGTATATGAAGCAGAGAGAAAGAAGAAGAAAAAGGTTATAATATAATTATAATATTATAATCTCAAAAAGTAAAAGTAAAAGAAATAAAATATATTCATCACACCAATAGAGATAGGAGATTCAATTTTTTAAAACACACATTAAAATGCAGTTGTTAAGAGAACACCCCTTTTGGATGTGCTTTTAATATATCATTTTTTGTCTGAAACTCTAGCATCAGTCACCTAGGGGAAGATAACTTTGTGGAAGAGGAAAATGAATGACCCCAAAACTTTCCATGTTTGATTTTTTTCTCTCCGTTTTAGAATTTTTGAACCAAGAAAACATATTCTATATTGAGTAGCACAGATACTGATCTCTCTTAAATTTCTTCATCTTGATTTCTATTTTTAGAAGATTTGTTTAGCCACAAGTATGTCACTACATATTTTCAGTATGGAACAGGTACGTACAGAGGTCATAATTCATGTGACACTTATTCTGTGGGTCCTTGTGTTTTCAGGGCAGGTAGTTTACCGACTTAGTCATCTCTCAGTTCTAATCTACAATTCTAACAGGCCTCCAGGTAATGGCAGAGGTCCTTAAGTTGGACTTTGACTAGGAAAGGCCCTCCAAGAACTGGAAATACTTCCAAGAAGAGGTCATGCTTGAATTAATGTCTTGCCTAATGAAATCAGATTAAAGAGCTCCGAGCAGGGAAGAAGTAGGTTTTGAAAATCACAAATGAATTTTCTGGCCATTCACTCATTAATGAGCATGGTTAGAATGCGGATTCCTCGCTGCTGAAGAGCATGATGTACAAGACACAGGAAATAACTCAAAGAACTCAGATAACTCCACTTTTGCCTTAGCAGCATAAGAAACCACAGAGACCCAGATCTCTAGTTCTTAATAAACACTTATGACATTTATCACAAATCAATTATTGTCCTATTAGTAATCTAGGAGGGTCCAGAATCCTCCCTCTGAACACAGCCAACGAATGCTAACTTTTTGCATAAACTGTGTAAAGAACCACACATAGCAGTGTTCCAGTGCCTTGTTCCTCGAATATTTCATGGCTGCTTCTCTATAGACCCGGTCTTGAGTGTCTTTACATGGCAAAGTGGCACCTAACTATTTTTCATTGTTTCTATTTTCAACAAAACACTAAGAGGCATAGGCAGAGTTTCCTTACTGAACACCCTGTCTGCAAGATGATGACCGAGCACTTTCACCGTGTATGTGTTACAGAGCAAACTAAGATGGAATGCGCTGTGAAATGCTGGATAGCTATTCAGGAGATGTTGGCCTATGAGTAGTAAGTGCCCAAGATATAAGCTAAGTAAATCTCTTCTTCTTCAAGGTGCTTTTGGTCGTGGTATTTACCACAGCAATAAAAGTCGAACTAGGACAGGGACCTCTGATATGTAGAATTAATATGTGCTAATAAAAATAAGCTTTCTTGCTGAGTGGTGGTGGCACACGCCTTTAATCCCAGCACTCAGGAGGCAGAGGCAGGTGGATCTCTGTGAGTTCAAGGCCAGTCTGGTCTACAAGAGCTAGTTCCAGGACAGGAACCAAAGTTACACAGAAGAACCCTATCTTGAAGAAACAAATAATTAAAAAACAAGTTTTCCATTTCTAAGGCTACACTTTTTTATATTTCTGAAGACTAAGATTAAAATAGTCTTGTGTAGCTAGTCTTCCTCTGTTCTGCTGGCCAGTTCCCAAATAAATGACATGGGGACTTCTTATTAATTATAAAAGCTTGGCTGATAGCTAAGGCTTGCTAGTAACTAGTTCTTACAACTTCAATTAACCCATTTCTATTCATTTATTTTCTTTTACGTGGTTCAGTTACTTTTACTTTGTAAAGCCCAAGCTGCTTACTCTGCATCCCTGGCATCTCCTCGTGACTCTGCCCTTCTTTCCAGCATCCTCTGCGCCTGGAAATCCTGCCTAGCTATTGACCATAAAGCTTTTTATTAAACCAACCGCAGTGACACATCTTCACAATGTAAACAAAGATTATTCCACAAAAGTCTTGTTATGCTGTCTGTATCCCTGATTATAAATATCACATAAAACCCAAAAGTGGAGATTCTAGTTACACGTACGATGGAACAAATTCCTTCCCTGGGATTTAGGACTAGCTTGGTGGTGTCTCAAACCAATTCTAAGAACCAGATCAAGACCTCTGCAAGCAGGAAAGAGTCAGACTGAATTGCTATCTAATTCAATCAAACAGACTCATCAATTCATTTATAAAATATTGCTTCAGCATTTATATTAGCTTTACAGAATTTTCCATGTGTATAGAATTTATCTTCCTGATTATGATCATATGCTTTAAGATCAGCCAAGTTTACTCTTTTGAATCTGGAATGAATTCCATTATAAAATTGATTTACCATTAAAAATGATTTGTTGTGATGTAACTTTTAAAAAAGATCATAGCTTTTTTCAATTCCCTCAAATGATCAGGAAAATCAGAAATAAGAATGAAATGAGAAGAGAAAGTGTATATATATATATATATATATATATATATACATATACATATGTATATGTATATGTATATATATATCTTTAGTAAACTTCCAGCTCTTCCTACAGGTTAGGGCAGGTTGAAAATGTCAATTGATTAAAGATTGGTCTGCCCTGAGAGATGATGAAAGGGAAATTTTAGGTCACTGGGGACACAGCTCTTACTTGAATGTTGACTGAAGGCGGATAATCAGATGCCTGCAGGATGACCTGTGGGACACCGCCACAGAGACTGGACAGACAAGGTGGATAGGCTGACTAGCACGTGTTTTCTAGATGTCTGTGCTTGACATTTTCTCCCAGAGAAATTCACAGTTTTGCAGGGAATTTTACAGAGCAAAACATGGAACATAAAGATTTACAAAAGCTTCAGAAACAGTCTTAACAAATGATGCAATGTTCTTCAAATATTTGCATTCAGTCCTGTCCACTGTACTCTCAGACATATAGGTCAGCTTCCCGAACTACTGCTTCAACAGGAAATCACGAGAATTCATTATTAATTATAAACATCTTGATATCATCAGAATAAGCACTTACAAATACTGTAATAAAATAAAAAGAAAAACAGTGTTCCAAGCAGGGTCTGCATTACAGGCTGATGCCCCAAAATTTTATCACCTGACCTTAATCCCAGTCATGATCATCGTGGTGGAAGGAGTGTACCATACCAACTCCCACAAGTTGCAAGTTGTTCTATGAGATGTAAAGTGCGCGCACACACACACACACACACACACACACAAACACACACACACAAAATGAACAAATGTGATTAAATATTTCAATAAAGGAAATATTTTTAGTAGGTGACAGTGCTCACTATATTCCAGAGAGCTAAAAAGACATGCTTATATACAGAGGGAAAACTCAGCTAATTTTCAAGATATTTGCATGAATACTTGTACCTATCTTATTCCATGATGGAAACTCAGAAGCAACAATTTCAGATGAAGGACCATTATGCTGTGACGTTGTATGACGCGCTTCCTGGGGCAATGAGAACAAACATGGACTAAAGCTAAACAGGAAGCAGTGACTGACCAAGGTAATGATGCCACCAAAGTCCAATTTGCTGAATCAGTGAGTTTATTGGGATTACTTACAGGACTTACAGGAGTACGAGTGAGGGTTTACATGGAGCTGACTTAGAGACAGCCATATCAATAAAAGCCCATCCTAGCATAGGGAAACCCACCAACAGATTTTGGAGAGTAACGGGGCAGATCTGTTGATATGTGACTTCTCCAGGCAGCTGGGCTTCTCTAAGAGCATCTGTCAGAAGTCAATTATTGCTTGAGTCACGAGTCACCCAGCCTGTAGCCCGCTTTTCAGCAGCCTGAGGTGATGGATACATGTCTCCTCGCAGAGCATCTATCTGAGAGTAGTCTCGAGGGAGTGTGAGATGCTCACGAGCTCTGGAAAAGGCAGGTAACAATCACATGACTGAAGGAGTTCCCCAAAGCTCTCCAGGTTCAGCTTCTCACTGCATCTTCAGCCCCAAGTCAGTTATATAACTAACTACCTCATGCTCCACTTCCTTGTTGCTCAATGGGAGGAATGTCTGTTCACTGTGTGTTGGAATTACCATAGAGACGAATGAGGTAATGAACAGAGGCAGCACGATTTCAGTGTTTCCTTTACCATATATTTTCCTGCTAAACACCAACAACATTTGAAATTGTAGCTTTTGCCTCAGCGTAGGCATATTTCCCCTGTGCTCCCTCTTTGTAACTAATATGACAACCTCCCTACTTGTGGTGCAAACTATTCTCTTTATTTCATTTTTTTTTAAATCTCCACCACAGAAACAACGCCCTTACTCTCCAACAATCAACCACCCTTAGAAGCCCCATCACGCCTCATTGTTAAATAACAGAAGTAACAGGAAAGCTGTTCAGAGGTACTCTAAAATTACCCAAGGGATGAGAAAAAGAGGTGTTTTCCTGTTTGAATGCCTTCAACCATGGATATCAAAGCAAAGATCACTGAAGCTGAGTGACGTGTCTCCTGCAAATAGCACCCCACCACTTTTACCTGAAGATTCATAAGCAAAAAAATATTTCCATTGTATTTTAAGAATATCCAGACTAGTGTGGCCTATTCCCACATCTGCCGTATTTAGTGAATGAGTCAGGGCATATTAACAAATGCTGTCACACCCTCAAAATCTCCCTTCCTGTTGGATATTTTATTGATTAAGTAGACGTTTTCATCACAAGCATACACAAGCTTCACCAACACAGCAACCGCTCAAGCGCGCCTGGGAATTTATGACAGTAACTTACTCTCGAGAGAGTTGCTACAGAGAGACTGTGTCTGCAGAGGCCAGTTGGCTGATGGTAGCTCCAGTGATGTGGAGAGGGAAGAGTGGAGCAGGTCCAGAGCCCAGTGACAGTTTATCTGGGCTCTGTTTAGCTCCCTAGCAAGCTATCTCTGTGGTGTAATATCTTATGATTGGGAGATAAAAACTTTTCAGAACATATTAACGTAACAGAACCCTATTCTACATGAACCAAAGAGCTAAGACTGCTATGTGGTGCATCTGAGGCCTAGAGCGGGGTGAGAGGCCTCTCTGGGCAGTTACCTGCCCCTCTGATGTTTCCACCGGTGTATTTGAAAAGTGTCTTGATTTACGGCTTCCTTTTGTTACTCTAAACCATCAGGAACTTACTTGTACATAAAACATGCAATTTGGGGTAAGCCAAACCTGTGTTCCAAGGACGTGGTCTCTCATATTTGGTTCCAGAATAAACTATCTCCTTTTAGGTGTCAGTGGTGTTTTTGCATCAATTTCTAAAGACATTCCTTTAGGTAAAGAGAAAAAAATCTTAAAATTTATACCCTCCTGTAAAAAAACAAAGTAGAAATTTCAATCGCACACTTTCTTGACTTTTGCTTTTCTCAAAAGTGTTCTATGAAGAAATAAGGAGCTCCATGAACAAAAAAAAAGGAAAAAAGAAAGAAAGAAAAGAAAAATGAAACAGGTAGCAAAGAATACCACAGCCTGGGACATGCAGCTCATTTCTGGCTTTCTTTTTCCTGCCACCCCCTTTGAAAGAAACCACTCAAACCTGTCTTCCCATGTGTCTATAGTTGTCTGTGAACATAGATATACAGCTAGAACTCATAAATCTGTCCGTTAATCCACACGGTCTTAACATTAAAGTTTAGTACTGGGTGCTGTGATGGGGGTAGGTGTCTTTTCCCAAAAGAAACTTGGAGAAATTATATTCCACTGTTAAAAGTGTAAGAAAAAATAACGACAACAATCCCAGGCCTCAGGCTATTTTTACGTGTGAAGGAAAATGGAATTTGATCAGGATTTGTGACTTCAGCTGCCTGCTTCAGAACCAAGGATCTGCCCTGTGATGGAGCGCCATTGCGTAGGACTGAGTCAATCTGGAAGTGAGAGCTTTGGAATGCCATCTGACTTTGCAGAGAGGCTCAGCCTGGGCAGCCAGCACTTTCCTGGCACTCACAGTCCTGGAGGAGGGTGCTGCTGATGTCACCGACAGGCAGATCATTTCCAGTTCTGCAAAGGAAAGAATAGGGATTCACCTTGACAGGAGGAAGAGCAAGACAGGCCCAGAGAGTGCTAGAAAGCTTCCCCCAGGCAACTGTTTCAAAGTGAGTCACTTACATTCCTAGGAAGAGATGAAGATCACAGGAAGCGCTGCTCACAGGTCTAGCGCAACAGGAGCCAAGCCAACCTGAATCCTGGTATTCAGGTCATCCCCAAACATGTGACGAAAGACCTTGCTATTGTTCCCTGCCTTCTCTCCTTTTATAGTAGCATTAATTCTGTGAGTACCTAAGCACTCACATGCGAAAACACTGTTTGGGGCTGCTGATAGGTAACGATAACCAGAAAAGAGAAAGAAATCCCAAAGCCTTGAAGATTGTGGGGAAAAGATTGAAGAGTAGAGAAAAGTGCCAACAAGAAACAGCCCTGTGCAGACAGGGGAGGTCTTGCTCAAGAAAGTGTCCTGTTGCCAGTCAGGGCTCTTGGTGGGCCTAGGATATGCAAATTCCAGTCCTCTGAGAAGATACAGTTGGCCTAGGGAAGGATCTAGGATTATCACTGTTTTCCAGGCTCCAAGTCACTGTCAGTGGTCGAAATAAATTAACAAAAGCCCTAACAAACAAAACAACTCATGTTGGAGTAATCAATCCACTAGGGATTCTCTACCGTAGCTTCCAAAGGATAGTCAACAGACCTCCAGCATTCCCAGGGCCTCTGTTTAGAATTCCCATTTCCAGTTCCCACTCCAGTGCTAAGGAACCAGAAGCCACACAGGAAAGGGAAGTCTGTCCTTCCCTTTTGCATGTTAAGGAACACTCAAGCTGACTCTGATGCCTACCAAACATTACCTGCCCAATACAGCAGCTGTTAGCCACACGAACCACTGAGCATACTGTCTGTAGTTAGTCCAACTGAAAGTGCTGGGTTCATCACACACTCGACTAAAAGGACTTGAGAAACACAATGTAGATCCATAGCTTATAGAAGTGAGGACCAAAGGTTGATCTAGGAGAGTATTGGGTTAACTATGCTAATAAAATTGGTTTCATCTGCTTGAATTTGTTTGCTTAAATGTGGCTGCTGAAAAAATTTCAATTATACATGTGGTGAGTTTTATATTTCTCTTCGGCAGTATGGCACTAAACTTTGAAAAACACTGCCATCGAGTAGTGGTTCTCATCTGGGGCACTTTGCTCCTGACCAGACATCTGGTAATCTTTGGTAATTTTTGGTTTTTCCAATGTGGGCAAGGATCCCGAAGGTATCTAGTACATACAAACTAGGGATGCTTTAAACTCTGTAAAGCACAGGAAAGCTCCTCATAGAAAAAGTCAACACTGTGAGGTTGGCAAACCTGCACTATTAATGTGATTCTGTTCCCTAGACTCACCTAGGAAGAGTTGAAAATACTGACTTCCTTGGCCCGTATCCAGATGATTTAAGTCTCTAGTGTGGAGGCCATGTACTGGAAGGTCATTTTGGTTTGGTTCAGTTTGGTTCCTCCTGAACTCTAATGCGCAAGCAGGACAAGAAAGGCTGTCCTGATGGGAAAAACAGAAGCAAATCATTCATATAAGCCTGTGCTGTCTGTCAACACCCCTCACCCTCATGCTGACCCGCAAATGTCCATTTCAAACACGTCTCCCAGTGATGCTGGTGCAGGGGTGGGGTGGGCATTTCCTACCAGTCAACAGAATCCTACTTATGCACCCTTCAGCAGGAGGGCACCCCACAGAACTGACTGCTGCTCTCTACCTGCAAGAGCAGACTTCCCTACCTCTTTAGCTAGAAGCCAGAGTGCAGTCAAAGTGTCTTCCGCAATTTAGCTGAGGCAGAACTAGCTCTTTCACTGGGGTGGGGGACATAAAGAAATGGTTAAAGAGGTCAAATCCCCACGTAATTCGTTCTTGCCTATATTGCAGGTGGGAATCAAAACTTTTGGGCATTGGGTTATCTTAAGTGAAACCTGTTTAATTTGACTCTTTAATTCCTTTCGAAATCCAATTTAGATCACTTCAAAATAAGCTTGTACAGATTATGAAACATTTTACAATAAGGCACACGTCTGCATTACACACACACACACACACACACACACACACACACACACACACACTCCTACTTACTTTGCTGGGTATAGTCACTTTGACCTGAACAGCAGCCTTGGGACATTTGCTCTGAGACTCTTCCTGAATTATCTGAATGGATAGCATCCCCATGTCCCCTGGTTTTTGCTCAGATGTCACCTTCCTTCTTAAATGATTCCACACTTTTCTTATCCCTCTAGTCCTTATCCTACTGGTCTGTTTGATTGCTTGTCCTATCCATAGCTGATTCCTTAGTTTAACAATATCATCAAACTTACACTGTACAATTTTTGCTTTGTTCACTGACATTTCTCAAATATCTAAAAATTATGCCTGATCAATAGTAGATATATAATAAATATTTGCTATTTGAATAAGCCTTTTTTAAACCTAAAGCTATTTAATTTTTTAAAGCTTTATTACTTTCATTAAAAAATTCTAAATTAATTTTTGGAGTTCATATAGTTGCTTCGCTCTAAGAAAATGGCCAGAAGGCTTATTTTACAAATAATCCCCACATCAGTTAAAGGTTCAAACACCTCTCTGAAACAGAAATGGTGTCACTATGGCTCCAAGAGGGTTGGTGAGGGACAATAACTAAAATGAAGGATGGGAGGTAGACTACTGAGTGTCTTATGGACCAGGATATGAACTTTGAATTTTGTGATTAGAGAGAATATTCAATGGTTAAGATTACTTGTTCTTCTGCAGAGGATTTGGATTCAGTCCCCAGGATCTACAGTAGTTGACAGCTGTCTGTCACTCTAGTTTCAGGTAATCGAAAACCCTCTCCTGGCCTCAGTGGGTGCCAGACGTGCATGCAATGTACTTACAGACATGCACACAGAATACCCGTAAACATAAAAAAAAAAATAAAAGTGGGCACACCAGGCATGCATGCAGTGTACTTACAGACATGCACACCGAATACTTGTACACATAAAAAAATAATCATTTTAAAAATGAGTTTGAATTATGGTTCTGATAATTAGGAAGCAATTGGAGACTTTAAGCAGTATGTTAGGCAGATGCTGAATTGAAGGTGTGACAGAAAGTCCCAGGGTCTTCTTGGAGGATAAGGTTGTCTCTTTTTTTAATTTGATGAACTAATTTTCCCTGGCCTTCTGGAAATGTGTAGAAAAATAAGCTTGGATTTGTTGGGTAGAGAAAAGCACGAACTAGAACTACAGAGTCACTGCTGGAGGGGAAAGGGAGCCATAACTCGGGCAGTAAGTGCTTGCCTTGTAAGCTTGAAGACTAGCTTGATCCCCGACACCACATAAAATAACCCATGTGTGATGGCATACTTGTCATCTCAGTACTAGAGGAATAAATAAGATCCCCAGAGCTCACCAGCCAGCCAACCTGTGCTACATGATGGGTTCTAGGCCAGCAAAAGAACCAGTCTCAAAAATAAAAGGTAGGCTATTCTCTGGCCTCAAGGATATGCTCATTCCTGCACTCAGTACAGGAATACACACATACACACACACACACACACACACACACACACACACACACCTCTCACACAAAATAGAGCTATGGGCTCAAATCATCTTCCCCGTACACAAATACATCCTAGAGACTCCTTTAACATGGGCCAACAGCAATACATCATGTGGGAACTTGTAAAAAAATGCGCAATTCTAGGCCCCACCCCAAAGCTCACAAACTCAGATCTGAACCCTATCTCTTCCCCTGGGACTTGGCTGTACAAAGTTGACCCATCCCTTTGTTTGTAGCTCTATGAGGACCATAGTGGAGAGAGATGGGAAAACTTTCTTCCCATTGTCTGGTTGCAAACCTGTAGCCTGAAGCCTGGGAATCAGGAAACCTGGATTTCCTACTCAGAACAAGAAGCTGTCAAAATATCGGCACGTCTGGGAGTTCAACATCAGAGCAAGTCAGAAGGAAGATGGCAAAAAAAAGTCACTCCCATCAGTCTCGCTAGGAAAGCGATGGAATGCACCGGGGACAAAGAAAATACATGAGCCTGCTTCCAAAAACTCAAGGACCTATGCAGAAGGATGCTAGTGTCTGAATGTGGCCCCTTTATATTGACTTTTTCTCTGCGTGAATAACTGAATTGCAAAAAAACAGGCACACTCTTCGTGACTGCTCATCTCTCTATCATGAATGTTCTTCCTCCAAACGTCTGTGTAACCAATCCCCTCACCTCCTCAAATCCTTTATCAAAATGGAGAATTCCCATGGTACCTCTTCAGCTCCTCAGCCCGAAGTTTCACATTCAGCTTTCGGTTCCCAGATTTCTCCAGTTCTAACATCCAGCTTTCCCTTTAGTCTTCCCATAGCATTTGCCCCTTGCTAAAATACCACAAAACCTATTTGTTTCACCTGTCTACCGATGCTATCTCTTGCTGACATGCAAGCTCTGTGAGGGAGGAGGGTCTTAGGTTCATTCTCTGTGTTAAACTAAGAATCTGGTCTAGAGCAATTCCTGCAACCCAGTGCGTGTACAACAAACACTAGCTAGCTAAAGGGAGAGTGAGCTTCTCAGGCAGGAGCGGTGGAGTTTGACAAACTGGCTGCTGTTGGATTCAAGCAGAACTTTGATTTGAACCCTGGTTTGGATGATGACCACATTCATGATCTTTCTCGTTAGTAAATTTTTAAGTTTTTGTTTTCTCACAGGTGAGATCAGTTTCACAGCACCACAGGAAAATTAAATAATACCTGAACCCTGCTCATCAGCTGCCCCTTTATTGCTGTTCATTCTCAGTTTCCACAGATTTACATCACTGTCGGAAACACTGCTTCTTATGCCTCTAGCAGCCGTTGCCCATGATTTCCTGGTTGTGTGGAAGCCAATCGCTGGCCTCAGGTTAAAGCCCATCGTTAACTGTGGGTTAAAGCCAATCACTAGTTGTCTGTTAAAGCCGATCGCTAGCTGTGGGTTAAAGCCAATCACTAGCTACAGGTTAAAGTTGATCACCAGAAAAAAAAAAAAAGTTGATCACCAGCTGCAGGTTAAAGCTGATCACCAGCTGCAGGTTCACCTTTGCTGCACAAAGAGTTGCTAGATTTTTCACTACTCAAGTAGATAATCTCTTTCTAAACTCGCGAATATAAAAAAACACATTTAACTCATCACATGCTTGTGTTGGAAGCATCATGAGGGCAGGAGGTTGGGTCTTTATCTTAACAAGTAAAGAAATAAAGGTCTCAGGTTAAGATATTTTCAGAAAGTCACATAGCTTGTTAGCAGAGAGGAAAACCCGAAATCTGGGTTTCCAGATTCCCAGCATTCCTTCCACTCCATCTGGCATGAAAGCGGTTGTTGTAAAAAGTCCCAAACTTTTCAGCCTGGCAGAGTTAGCACAACGTAGATAACTGAGGTCAGATCTAAGATGTCCTGGAATCCTCTCTATCTTAGTAGCTACTAATAGAACATGCTCAGTACATTTATAATGCACAAGTAATGGTTTGCCTGAGAAGAAGCCTTAGACAAGCCCTGCTTCTACACTGACAGGACATTCAATTCCTTCATATAGAATATAGAAGATTCTACACATGGGACGCTAAATCTGTCAGGTCGATGATGCCGGCTTTCTCAGCTTTCCTCATTTTGAATCTCTTCTATAGTCACTATCTGTTGCACATTTGGGTTGATATTTCTCGACAAACTCATTCCACTATTTTCGTTGAACTTTACCTTAAATATTGCTCAAGGGTATCAGAAATAGTAAAATCCATGGAATTATTTTGGTATCATTAGTAACAGCCCATGGATACAGTCTGAAAATTGGCCCAAATGCTCATCTGCAGGTAATTATAAACTTGGCCCTTCTACCTGCAACAGCCAATGACCAGATGTCAGGCGCTGAAAGACGGGCCGAATAAATAGTCAAGAATGCAAGATGTAACAGTCTGGTCTGTGATTAAGCCTCAAAAAAAAAAATTACTAAAAATAAAGCGAGGAAGCAAACAAAACAGTTGTTATGGAAACGTGTTTTGAATCACTCAAAGCAAATTAAAATCCCTCCTATTTGCCAAACCACTCAAGCTCCACTACACACAGTACAAGCCCATGCATATCAACATCATAAGATAATAAAAGGAACGGAATGCCGTGGTAGACCTCCATAGCAGAGCAGAACTCAGAAGAACGGGAAGGTGCTGAGTGGAAGGTGATCCCGAATTTCTTTACCTAAAGAATCCAACCTCTTAACCCATCTTAAGTTCATTCACTTATTCAATAAGTATTTATTGTCTGCCAAGTAGACTTGGAAACCTCAGGAATTCAAAGAGCGGCGTTTTTATGTATTACCCAGCTTAGACCTTGGAAAAGAAAGCCTCAGCAAACTTTGTTTTGCAAACAATAGGCAGATATAGAAATGAAAATAAGCGCACGCATGCACAGCAACACTCTGTCAATGTTGGGCTAAGGCTGAATGTGTAATGATACGGGGATGATTCAAAAAAACAAATATACAGGATATGTAAACATTCTAAAAGACTAAATCTAAGTTTCAGGGCTTGAGAAGGAAATACAATCCATAGTTTCACTCTAGCTAAGCAAAACATATGACCAAGGGAAGGCGAGAGCCTGGCTAGCACCCGTGGTAAGTAGGTAGGATGAATGAATGGGTGGGAGTCTAATGTACAGAGTCTGACGTGGAGTCTAGTGGACACTGGCACATCGCTTCCGTCATCACAGGCAAGTCTCTGCTACACAGATGTGTGGATGGGGCAGAAATAAGATGTATGCATTTTCAGCCCATTTCTTACCCAAAAGAAAATGCCCAGCAGAGATAACACAAAAAGATGAAACAGATTAGAAAAGCTATAACAAAATGCCAAATAATATGAAATAATAATAAGTTCCAGATCATTTCAGCCTCTAAGAAACAAACGAATAAATATTGCTACCTGTTTAGCTTCAGAAGATGAAGAGCAGTGGAGCTGACCTTATTTGGCTACGAAAAAAAAAAAAAATAAGATGCTGTCTCTATAGCAATTGCTCAGAGCCCAAACTATATGATAGAGTTGTTCCCAGCCTAGCTGAGCATGGTCATAGCACAGTTAGCCTTGCTAGCCTCCATTTCCACGTCAGCGACAGCCTTTACCAAGTTCATTGTCGTTCTTTTTAATTTCCTCCTTAAATGTATGCAGGTATTGAATTTGGCTTACCGTTCAGTCACATTTGCCAAATGGTCTTCCGGAATTCTCCCCGCACCCTCTGTCTCCTACACTACCAACATTCCCGCAGACAAGAGTTAGGCCTCCACCATCGTCAGCTCTCAGTCATTCATCTTCTCAGCTCGGCATTGTTTGTCTCTATCAAAGCCTCCATGACGGAATCTCATCTCCAACATCACCTAACAGGGAACCGGAAGAATGTGTAGCCTTAGGATATGACCCAGTGCTGCCAGGATGAGGGCAAAGGGGGGGGGGCAACGAATGAGAAAAAACAACCTTGAGAATCACGTGAAGGCTTCCTGAACAATGGACCCCACTGGCCCTGGTAAATTGAGTGTTTCTCTATAAACACCTGACAATAAGCCATTCATGAATCCACACAGGAGAGATTATAATTAGTGTATAAAATCAGATCATTAAACTATAATGCTAAAAATAATTATTTTTCAAAAATCTCCAGAGGTTTTTTTCCAAATAAAGACAAAACAATAATAAAAAGTAGAGATATCATTCTTGCCGTCTCGATGTCTTTTACTTTTTAGCAAAACGCTTAATCTATTCAGATTAGGTCTGAGACATGATCTTGAGACCCTGTACCAAGATTGGGTAAAGACACTAGAGAAATTATTTTAGTGTAAGTTACAGATGTTTAGAATGTATAATTTAAAACATCACATTTTGGGTCCTTCTTCATATGCACTGGATAGCATTACAAAACAATGCTTGTTAAAAAGCCCTTCTCTTCAGTCTCTCCTGGGCACAAGGCTAAACGGAGCATTTGATGCTCTATAGCTTTTTCTTGTTTCTTCTTGACACCCCAACTGACTTTCCCTTTTTAGTCCTAGGGATGCTGGAAACTACTATTAAATAAAAATACCTGGAAGAAAACCAATCTGAGGTCCATATGACACAAAGGAACATTTCCTCGGAGCAGACTGTAGTTGCTATAACCATGTTTAGTCTTCAGCGAGCAAAGCTTGGTGCACTTCGCTCATCAGCATGCAGCTAAGAAGGAGGCAGGTTTCTTTCCAAGCACATGTTTTTCACCGCATTGCTGGAATCACTACAATGAAAGGGCAGAAAGTCTTCCCAGCCCGCTCACATCCTTAGACTTCTTTGGAGAAGACAAAACAAAGCAGAAGACAAACGGCATAAGCAATAATGGCTTGGCTCTTCCTGCTTATTAGGGTGGTTTTTTTTTTCTGCATTCTTTGAAAATCTATTCAGTCCTCTTGTTAGTAGCATCTCTTTCATTGTCTTCTAATCCAATGCCATGTCCTTTCCCAAACACTTGAGAAATTATCATTTTCATTCAACATCATTTAATTTCCTGAACAAATACAATTTTAAAATACGAGAGGCTCAGGTACACATAGAGAGCTTGTTTTAATTTCCGGTTTGCCCTTGTAATTGTGGTTTTAGGAAAACTGATGAATATTTGAAATAGATTTTCTGTCCGTGTGGTCTTTCTCATCTTAAAGGGAAAGGTGATCATGTATTTTTAAAAATTGGTTCCCACATAAAATCTCTGGTTAATTATGTTTTACATAATTTAGTTGCTTATATTTGGTCACAACACACCTTTATATGGGTGCGTGGGAGGTGGAACAGAAAATGAAATTAAAATCACAACAGTTTCCATGCTGCCAATACTGAGAGCAGAAAAATTGAAAAGATTGAACAATGCATCAAATATTCACTTCCGAGTATATTGTTACTTTAAAGGTAATTTTAAGTATGAAATAATAATAATAACGAGGCAATTCCCTTTATAACCTTTTATATCCCCTCCTCTTCCTAAATACTGTTTTTGTGTTTATGTATATGTTCCAGGAAGAGGAAGGGAATAGATACAGAACATCATAAGCATGACTTTTAATCTGTATTTACCTTTCTGCTACCTCGTAACATTTTCCTCTGTCAGCAAGTGTAGATTAGTCTCATGCTTTTATAGAAACTTTATACTGCTTCGTAGAATGCTTATACTATAAATGACTTACGCTCTTCCCGACTTGAAGACATTCTTGTCAGCGACAGGCAGAGATAGCTCCAGGATTTATTATAAAGGATCCCACGGAAAATCCTCGCTTTACACAGTCTCTGTGTAGCAGTGAGCATGACTGCAGGAGAGAGCCTTAAGAAGAGGGATTCTCAGCTCAACTACCCTCACTTACAGCCTCTTCACCTAATATGCAAAGATCTGGGCAATCTTGGGTTGCTGCTATGCAAAGCATGAGGCTGCACGTTTTCCTGTTTCTCACAAGCAGACACCGTGAACTGCTTCTCTTACGTCCTTTTTAAAACAGGTTCTTAAACAAAAGCGAGAATGCAGCAGTTTGTTCAGAAGGTAACTCCAGGAATCACTGTAAACGAGGCAGGGACGTGAGTACAGAGGAAAGAACATCAAAAAGGAGCGCCTTGAGCTGCCCACTACCTCTCCTTAAAGAGTGGGCGCCTTCCGGGCTTGAGTGAAGCTCAAGGAGTTCCCAAAATACAGAATTTTAATGCTACAACTGAGAGAGCTCCAAAGATATGAGGAAAGTTGGCCACCCTACTCTGCAAACAACTGGGACTCAATATTTTCTGAAGACCACCGGAGAGGCCATACACAATGCAATTTTGAGTTTTCCCAACAAAGGACAAGGAAATAGGATATTTATGCACTAACATTTTTCTGAACAGGATCACATTGAGGCATTGTATTTCATTTCCTATTTTATCTTGACAAGAATAGGTCATATTCTGGTATCTATAATTAACTGTCTAGAAGAAAAACCAAGGAAGTTATTAGCATAACAAGGAACTTCCTGAAATCGGGCTCTAATGTCGCCCACTGGGAGGGGATATAGCATCAACCCAACCTAGAACAGGACTGCTTTCCCCAGTTGGGTTAGCACACAATCCCACGTCAATGATGCTTTCACTAGCATTTCCTACTCATTAGGGAACATAGCCTTGTTTCATATTTGCATCCGTTCTTGCAATTCCAAATCTCTGAGTTTTTAAAGGCAGTTTTAGGGAAAGTCACACTCCTAGACTGGGTTGCTGACATTTACAGTAGAATAAAAATGTGTCCAGTTTCAAAATATGTGTGCCTGAGAGTAAGGATGAGGAGCAGAGTAAATACTAAAGGTGAAAAGCGATGATATGGTCATGACATTCCCAGGGTCACAAGCCCGGTCGCACTTCCCTACAATGAGAGGACAGAACTTGAGTGCACACCAGGTACAGTTTTTAGGTTCTCACAGAATTGACTTGCAGCCACACCTCATCTGAGTCTCTCTGGTCAGATTCCTTTCCTCCCACACTTCCTCCCTGGTGTGTTTTCAAATGACTCCTCCATCTCTAAAGACTGCCATCTGATGTGAGTGTCCCCTACATCCTTGTACTACTGCAGGAACCACTGCTGTCTATTTCCTTCAAGACTCCATCATTGTATTATAATTTTACCATAAGGAAATCAAGGATATTTAACAGAGCTTTCAAGGGGCATTATCACTGATACATAGCACATTCAAATCCTTGTACAACTCCAAATGCATGATATTATGTAGCTCATAAGCAGCAGTCTGAGAGGCTCACTAAACCATAAGGACATTTGGAAGTTATATAAACATAAATTTAAACTTCAGGCTCTCTTGCTTCATTCATAAAGCCTTCATCCATCTCCTTAAGCACCCGAGACCTGCTGTGGTTTCTCTTACCTTGTTCTGTGCGTTCCACTTCACTGTGTCTTATCACATTACAGCTTTTGCTCAGGCTTCCTTCTCATTAGGATTCGAACTGACAGCATCGGGAAATAATGGCATGTTGATAGCTTTATTTTGGAGTGGGAAAGCACTCCATAAAGTTTATGCCTCATAAATGAATTGATTCATCTTCTAAAATTTTATTCTAGTTGTCCCTATTTTAAAGAGTAAATCACCCCCTCCCCATTTTATGAATTGTAAAAACCTGATGCTCAGAGCAATAGATGAATTGCTTAGGTTACCAAAGTCATAACGAAGGAAAAACTCCTATGGAGCTTCTATGGGTACTTCTCCTCCATTTGCGTTTTCCATTTCCTCTTTCTCTCTCTTGCTTCTCTGGAAAGAGGAGGTCACCTCGGGCATTCATCTCCTATCTACCCACCTGGTTTGACCTCCCCCTGCTACCTCAGCACTTTTTTCTACCGCTGTTGCTGTACCCTTAAATCACTCTATGGCAGAGAAGCTCTGATTAGCTTTTTCCTGAGATGCCATCACTGCATCCCGCCACAGGTGTGCTGTGAATACCAGAAGCATGACAAGTCTCCTCCTGGTACTTGATGCCCTGGAGGCCTTCTCTGAATCGCTATTTTCCTCTTTCTGTTTGAACTGTTTAACTACATAAGAGTTCAACTGAAGTCTGTTGAACTTTTACATTTCTATAATTCTTTGTCTTCCCCACCAATCTGATTGCTTATCATAATATGCACAGTAGACACTCAACGGTCTTTAATGAGGATGATGATAAGTTCATGTGCCTTTGCAACCTATGGGATGGAAACTATAGGTATGTGTTGTGCATTTATCATGTGTGTGCTTACACATTTATAACCTTAGGGTTCTTATTCTTGAGAATGAAATAGTTAAACTTAAGAGAATGGTAATTGATAATAGCAAAAAAAAAAAAACAGACCAGATTTCACAACTGTGGCTTTCTTTAATAAGGTGGGGTTGATTCTTAATTTTAGTTTCGTTGGTAAGATCAATTTAGCTAAAAATATGACGAGAAGAATTTATACCTTAAGAACTGATATTAGCCTGGTTTTCCCGACATAAAATTCTTTATTTAATGTGCTCCCTTACAGATGCCAAAGGACTGGAGCCTGAGATAAAATCCTTTATCATTTCAGCAGCTGCTAAAGCCTGAAGGCAACTTCTGTTGCAAGCTTGAGGCTCAAGGAAGGGCCAGACACTGGAAAACATTTTCATAGGTCAATGAGTAATTCAGAGAAAGCAGCTCATATTTTCACCTTGTCCCTGCTTTGGCATGGTCTTCGAGGTTTCACTTTTACCTTAAATTTCTTCTTAAAGAGACATGTAGAGGCCTTTATGGTGTACAATATAGGATATGTTTAAAAATGGAAAACAGAACATTTTTGGTGGAAGAAAAGTCTAGTTAAAAGCCTGTATTTAAAAAATCCTCAAGGTATTTGAAGATAAGCAATGATTTTTTTTGTTTCTTCCTGATTAAAATAGGTGTGAACTTCCTAGAACTGCTGGAAATCATACAGTCAAAGGAGAATTCACTTGAAGAGAAGAATTCCTAACTTGACCAAAAAAAAAAAAAAAATACTAATGCCTAAGTCTAGAAAGAAAGACAAAGGATGGGGTTTAGATTTTCTCTCCATACACTAGTACACAAGCAGAAAGTCACACTCCTCAACGTGCACAGAGTTTCTAAAATAAAAATCTTAACTTGGGTTTATAATCCATGCATTCTACTGCCCCCAAGAGAAGGTTCATTTCAAAACCTCAGTGTTTCAGAGGACCAGGACTGGGTGGTACCTAAGAGAACTGTTTCTACAAGGACATTTGGGACCACTTACTCAGTTCCTAGAGCTGTTTTTCAACCAGAAGCAAGGAGGTTTAGAGTTTCCCATTTAAAATAGCCAACAAAAACTTAAGGAAGTACACAAAACTACAAAATCTAGACGAAACAGGGGGAATATATTGATACCAAAAAAAATAATATTGGTATTAATTCTCTCTGATCAGAAGCCACCAACTAGAAAGAGGGAAATCGAAGAAATGTCACAAAGGCCATTGATTTGCATAGCTCTAGGTCTTAGAGAAAACGCAAATACAGAAGGTACAACGGTGACAACCGAAAAAACATATGTATGCACAAAGATTGTTGACAAGACGTTGTAAATCAAGAAAACCTGGTTTCCTACTTGGATAGAATTGGGAGGGTTTGGTACAATCCTTCTGAGAACAAAGCAGTCATTATTCTTTATGGAATACACTTCAAAATGGGTGACTGATAACAGAGCTATATTTTCAGCTCTCTCTTGATTTTTCAAATGTTGACAGAGATCTCACTAAATTTCTTCTGATTCACCACCCCAAGTGAGATTACCAATCTGTGTCATCAAGACTAATTAGGTCATCAAGTTCCTAAGGCCAAAATGCTGGGATTTATGGTTAGCCACGGAAAGGACCAGGAAGTCTAGACATAAGAAAGTCTATGTGTCTGTGTGTCTATCTGTCTATGTGGATCATGAACTGTCATACGGGGCTGATTGACAGATTAAGGTAAAGCATTTGAGGAGGAAAAAAAAGGAGGGAGCATTAAGAAAGGAAGGGAGGTATTTTGCTATCATCCCAAAGAACTACAAGTTAAAACCCAGAACAGGTTGGCTTACCTAAAATATGGTTCAGAACATGTAGTATATACTTAAAACAGGTAAGTATACAGGAAAAGAAAATTAACCTTTAACCCTTACGCTTACATTTCCAGAAGCCCCTGGCTAGACTATCAATGCCCTGTACAGTATGTCATAGAAACTTTATCAGGATTTCTTAGTCACCATCAGACTGCCTTGTTCTTCAGAAGGACTAGGACCCGACTTTAGTACCAAGGTTAACAGCAGGAAAGAGATACCATGGGAAGGAGCCAAAAGCAGTGAAGGGCAGTATTATCACTTTATACAGCACTTCAAAGGGACGCCAAGCAATAGTTGCCTGTTTAAGGGGACCGATATCTCAAAGTCACCCTGTTAATAACCCCAGAGGAACCAGGAAAAGGTTAGATAGAGCTCCTTGGTAAAGCTAGCATGCTTCTGATTCATCCCACACCACCCACATGCCAGAGAAGAAATCGGAGCTTGCCGCAGCCTTCTTCCCCTATTAAACAGGCGTTAAGTAATCTTATTTGGGGCCACCTGTGACCACTGTCCCACTCCAAAGTTCATTATGAAGTTTGGACTGTGCTATTAGGTCAAACTATGAGCTTCAGTGTGTGCTGCAGTCAGAAAGAGCCAGACCGCTCTTAGGAAAGAAATTCTGTAGACAGACAACTAGAGACATATTTGGTCAAAAGAAAAAGTGATGCCAGGGGGATTTCCAGAATCTCCTAACTGAAGGACGGTGAGTTAGCAGAGGGAATCTACCAATCACGGGAGCTAGATTTTGTTATGTTTTTTTCTGTTTTAAAGGAAAAGGGAACTTGACTACCAGGAAAAACATGTGTCAAAAAGGAAACATACAATAATCAGCTCTGTGGTCAGGAGGGAAAATGCTTCGATGAAAACTATTTCACAGCAAACACCAAAGCTCCCTCTAGCAAGGTCTCACCGTGGATGTTTTTCAGATCTCCGAAGACGTTATTAATGGTTTCGCTCTCCACAATATTATAAAGCATTTTCAAAGGCCTGCGCTATCTCCGTTTATAGTGTCTCAGAATGAAGGAACAGAGTCCATTTTTAGCCAATCAAATAGCTCTTCGCAAGGTGGTGCTTTTGAGCCCAGACAAGCCACAAAAAGTACAGACTCAACTAGATATTCAAGGTTCCCAAAACACACACATACATCACCGCTAGCAGCAAAGACAGGCGCCACAGACCGTTCTCCCACACTGGTCTCTGTTTTGAGTAACTGTTTCACCATGAAGAATTTTCTCTGGGCTTCTTTGCACTAGAAAGAAAAGGACAAAAATATCACGCCCTGGTTTATCACAGAGCAGACCTTTTTTTTTTTTCTTTTTGCTTTCTCTTTGTGAAAACTTCAAGGGTTTCTGATTGCCCACAAAAATTTTACAAGCTAGTCCCACAACCCTAATGCAACTGTTTTAAGAACAAGGAAGCGCAAGAGCCTCCCTAGGGCAGTGGCTGGGTGTTTAACTGCTGGTGCTAGCCACAGGGGCCTCACCTCTGCTACAACAGCTCTGACCACCAGAGGAAATGTACACAGACCCCCCAGCCACCCGCTATGGGAAGAGAAACAGATGTGCAGCCTGTGACACCAGGAGGAAGCTGCAACCTTGGCCTATGCCTAAAGAGAATTGAACGGGGGCATTTTCACACCCTCTTACTCTCTGATCACTTGCTGTGTCCCACTAAAACCTTTCTTCCTCCCAACAAGGCCCTTTCTACTTGATGACATTTTTCTTTTACCCTCTGGGTTTAATTACAGATGCTTCTTGAGAAGAGTAGAGGATTCTTAACTGGAGCATAGGCAACTTACCAGCAGCTACACCACTAAGGAAAATAAACTCTCTCCTCTAGAATCCTTTACCTGGCTGTAGTCTGTCAGGGAGGGGTAGAGCCCCAGGAACCTCCCACTGATGCAAGAAGAAGGTGATGGGTCCAGTCTTGGGCACGTCTTACGGAGGCTATCATGGCTGCAGTGAGTTCCTGGCTGCAATGGCTTGTGTCATGTCCGGACGATCTAATTTATTTATTTATTTTGCATTTATTTATTGTGTGTGTATGTGTTAATGGTTAGGTGTATGCACCCATGCAAACACATGAGTGCTCACATTCACTAAATGTAGAGATCAGAAAATACCTTGTAGAAAGCGGTTCTCTCCTACCTGCCGTGTGGATTTTAGGAATCAGATTCAGGTCCTCACGCTGAGCAACAAAGGCCCTTGCCCACCAAGTCTCCTATGATCCCATTAGGAATTTTCTTAGTGCTCCTCCCCAACCTCTTAACTATGTCCTCCCTTGTGGGTAATATAGATGTCCGGCTTAGGACCAAGCACGCTCTGATTACTCACCTTCTGCATTTTGAGCAGTCGTGGGTCTCTAAATCAGCCATGACCTGCGGCAAAAAGACACTTCTCTCCCGAAGGCTTAGAGCAGCCCTAATCTATGGGTATACACCTAAGCATTTGTAGGGCAGTTTAACATAGTGTGCACCTAAGATAACAGTGATGAGCCAAGAAATTCTTCCAAACGTATTTCTCTTGGAGGAAACCCTGTGGGATGCTCACATCACTTCAGTATCTGGCTTTGTCAATAGGTTACCTTAAACAGATGTACCTTTAGCAAGCTAATTTTTAATTCCTTCTGGCAAAAATGAACAGCACTCTATCCGTGAGTAGATTATCTTGGACTCTGTGTACTTAAGCAGGCCATGTCTATACAGCCATCAGCTTTTTAAATATTCCTCTGTGGCGGGGTCTATTTTTCCACCCTTGCATGTATTCTATCGTGTAAGCACTGTGATGAACTGTGTGGCAGAAGTAACATTCTGCCTGCAATAAGTCTTACATCTAAGAGAGAGAGCAGTTTTCACCTTGTTTTTGAGAGCACTGGATGCCACATTAGAAATCTCCCTTGTGCTTCCGAGACCATTGGGAGGGGCTATGAGATGATGCGGAAAGAGAGGACCAGCAAACCCAGCCTAACACAAACCCCCACCAAGCAGCCAACATGAGACGCATCAAGTAACCAGGACACCAGGCAAATACCACCAGGTAACTCCTAGGGATGCCACGTGGACAAAAATATAACCTAGAAAAGTTGCCTCTGAATTCCTAAGCATAAAAGAATGTTGTTGAGTTTTTGCTGTTGTTATTCCCCAAATCTGGGAAATAATCTGCATTCACTGAGGGCCAACTCCCAGCCTCTGGGAGAGGAGCATATGATTTAAAACACCAAATCCACAACCACGAAGAACTTGAGAGGCTCCGCATTCTGTAATCAATTAAAAAGTTGTGCATGTTCCATGGTGTGCACCCAGAGGAAAGAAAAGCTGAGGAAACAAGACATGGCACTGGCCTGTCAGAGAGGCTTTCTGAAGGCCGGGTCATGCAACGTGGACTTGTAAAAGCTGTATGTGGGGCTGGAGGGATGGCTGGAGGGATGAGAGTGTTGCTGCTGTTCCAGAGGACCAGGGTCCCAATTTCAGGACTCATTTCCGGTGACTTACAACCACCTGAAATTCCAGCTCCAAGAGATCCAATGCCCCTTTGGGTGGCAGTAAGCTCATGCTTGCCTGACACACAAACACACACACACATACACACACGACACACATATATACATATACATAAAAAATTAGAAATCTTTTAAAACTAAGTGAAAAGAAAATGTGTATGTACGCTAGCTTATTGTCCATCTTTCCAAGAAACACTTCTGTGTAGCTGCTACATGTGTCGTCGGGTTTGTTAACCACTGAGGAAACAAGAATTTTATTTATATGCAATTTCTGCCCAGGAAAATCCAGCTCTCCAATAAAACATTGGCTCACCAATATGCAAATTTAAAATTGCCTTAACTAAAGGAGTAGGGTATTTTCTGCAAAGGACCAAGAGTAAATATAGCAGCCGTTGCATATTTAAAGCAACTTGTAACAATATATAAAGAAATGAACAAAGAAAGATCCTTATATATACACACCAAGGATTAAATACCATATATTCCCATGTGCTTTGACATACTAGTTTTTACTGTTTATAATCATCTTAAAATGTATAAGCCAGTTCTCAGCTTACAAGTTACATAAAAATAAATGGACTTAGTCTTTTTTCCAGTTAGTTTAGATGGGCCTAAAACAAGCAGAGCTCAATAAGTTCATAAATAAAATGCTCATAAATAAAATTAAAAAGGTGATTCCTTTGCATTGGCTGCCATGTATGCAAATTATAATCTGCCTTCTGATTTTGACTCTTTCTATCCTCCTGATTGACCCTGGAACCCAGGGAAGCTTGAAGACTCCAGACAGGGTTGGGGCGGATCAGGTTGCTGAACATGTTGGAGAAGAGGAAGAGCCACAGAGAACGAGAGGGTTACACATTCATAGGAAGCCTGATGTGTGAGCCCCAACCAACAAGCACTCAAGCAGTGACAGGGACACTTTGAGGAGGAAGAAGTGAGCACTGTTATTGTCTATTTCTAACTTTTGTGAACTTTCAGATTCTGTGAGCAAAGTTTCTTGTGGAAGGTCCTTGAGACCCCCGGAGCTGGACCAATTAGAAAATCAGAAATAAAGTAGAAAACTTGAGTTGTTCTCGCTATTGAAATGTGAGTTCTTATTTCTTTGGGGCAGCCACCCCATACTTCCTCTAACTCTGTCCTCCACCCTGTACTGTAACAAGCTGGTCTTGGCAAATAGATTGCTAAAGATTTAACAGTTAGCATGCCTGTTCGTTGTAATTGCTTTGTTTTCATATAAAGATCTTCTAAAGCTACTTTAAAAGTGCAAATCTATGCAGTAGATCTTCGCAGGAAGCCTCTTTGCACCCACACAGAGGCCCCCAAGTATGATTATACCAAGGAGCTGTCTCTACTGAGGGAAAACACACACATTTTGTCCTTTGTGTCCCGGGGTAGGTTGGTTGCCTCCATGCAACCTTCTCATGTTTTTGGTGACACAGAAATACGCTCTCGTTCACTAAGGCAGTCACTGTGACCTACATCCTCCCATCCTAGGGCATGTTCTGTCTTCCTCTTCACTTCAGGAGGATATTGATGCACGAATTCAAATCAGCCTTGACCAGCTGATGACATCAGGTTTCTTCAGTTCGCAAAGGCACGCAATTAACAGGATTGAGCTAATGGTGTAAACAAGCCCAAGATAGGTCTAGTTCTGCTCGGGGTAGGGGGGGTAGAAATTGAAAGCTATTAACAATACATATTTTGTATGAATTTTATAATTGATGACTAAAGAGTGGTAGGGTTTTTTGCTTGCTTTTTGTTTTTAATTTGGAAGCTAGTGATCCTTTTTCAATCAGACGTTTCCACTTTGCTTAATTTAATAAAGCTTCCAACATCTCAAAATTGTTGAGACACAGGATGTCACTATCTTCCTCAGGCTGACCAGGAATTCCTGAGCCCCCAGAATGCTCCTGCCTCAGTTTCCCTGGTAATAGCATTCTTTTTTGTTGTTGTTGTTTTTGTTTTTCAAGACAGGGTTTCTCTGTGGCTTTGGAACCTGTCCTGGCACTAGCTCTGTAGACCAGGCTGGTCTCGAACTCACAGAGATCCACCTGCCTCTGCCTCCCGAGTGCTGGGATTAAAGGCGTGCGCCACCATCGCCCTGCATAATAGCATTCTTTTTAAAAAATAGATTCTGTCAGACCTTTTTTTATATCCCAGGCTCATTCCTTACTACTTTAGCTTTTTTTTTTGGGGGGGGGAACCTAACAAAAGTCTTAAACTGTGACGATGGATGAAGGTTTGCTTGTACTCTTTGGCATTGTTTTCTGTTAGAATGAGCCCCATAATGGATACATCACGTGTTTAGATGCAAACAGTGCTTTGGTATTCAAAGTTTCCCAACATATGTCAGGAGCACAAATTTAAAGGCAAAGAGGAGCAGAAGAACGGAGGAAAACAAGATGGTAGAAAGGAAAAAGAAGAAGTGAGAAGAAGGAAGAAACTGGGGTTCCAGACTCACGAGGATTCCTCCCCACCCTTCCCTCTGTGCTTTGCCCAAGAAGCAGCTTAACCTTTCCCCTACTAAGGGGAAAGCCCTTAGTACCTTCCTTCTGTGTAAAGGTTAGCAACAGTGCCATGAAGTCATTGCATGAGGAGTGAGGCAATGAAGATCTTTCAAACTTTCCAGTTGTGGCACAGCTTCTCTTTCCACCTGGCAGGCTGCTAAGAGCTCTGCCAAGAGCAGTGTTCTGCCAGCATCCAAGTGCCCAGACCACCCGGGGCCATCTGGAAGGAAGTTCAAACTTGTCAACACCCAAGCTGGGATGACTGAGTCCTACATCCTCAAACATGCCCCTTGACTCCAGTCCATTTGTTCTCTAGGAAGCTACAGTGCTCAGGTATGCACGCACACACACACACACACACACACACACACACACACACTCTCTCTCACAAAGACTCAGAAATGTAACTCTGCGGCCAAGTGCATACTTAGTTTATAAGAGGCTTTGGATTCCATTGCTAGCACCCTAAAAACAGAACAGGGGAGATGGCCCACCTGGTAAAGTACCTGCCGCAAGCATGAGGACAGGAGAAGCCACGGAAAACTCCAACGGAAGAGTAGTTTGGTGCTTCTGTAAGCCTCGTTTCTGAGATGGAGGGAAGGAGACATTGGAAACAGGTAGGTCCCTGGAGCTCTTGGCTTTTTACAGCAGATGCTATCATCAGAATCTAGATTCCAACACTGAGATGTCTAAAAAGAACAGCTACATGTGAAGGTTCAAACCCTCTGGTAAGAGCTGCCGACTCTCACCACTTCTGTTCCTTTAAAATGTCAATGGCTAACCGACACGCCCGGCTCGTGTAAAAGCATGGCCTCGCCACAAGTGTTGTGAAATCAGTGGCTTATGTGTCAACTACACTAAGAATAGAAGGGGTGATATCACCTATTTCTCCCTACCATCAGAAAGGAAGAATAAAGTCATATTTGGAGAAGGAGTGTCAAGCATGTACTATTGTTCATACTTGTTCTCTTCGCGGAGGACTTTTCTTATTGCTATTGTTTTAATGTGATAATATTCACCCCCTCACACAAATTAACATTTCCCTCTGTGGATATCCTTTTCCCCAAACTATGAACAGTGGCTCATGTCTCTAATAAAGAGCTGCAGGCCACCCCTACCCCTCTCCGGGCCTTAACTGTCAGAGCCCAGACACTTCTTTCCGCCGCAGCCTTCCCAGATGACTCTCAAAGGGAGAGCCACCGATTTGGTGTTAATTTGTTAGAGTAGTCCTATGAACACAGGACAACAAGGTCCTTTATTCTCCGTGTATAAAGAGAATTGAGGTCCACAGAGACTAACAGTCCTTTTAGGACCTCCAATGGCATGAAGAGAATTCACACTGGAACAGCCTCCCTCCAGCCCTTCACTGTGCTATGTTTTGCCCCTTCCTGGGATCTTTCCTAAGTGGCAGTCTGTTATCTACTAGGTATGTCACCTGCAGATTACTTTCGTCTTAATCCCCTCCGTGGGAACTAACTGAACGGTGTCCTTGCTCCACTGTAAGTCAGCTTACCAGCTGATGTCCCCAGTCCTAGGCAGGCCATCTGTTGAAGAAAGCTCTACGACCCCAGAAATCCTCACCTTCGTTTCCACTGAAGGCCTTCTGTCACTACCCACATAATAAAGAGGACAGTGGGTCTACGGAAAGGGACACACACACGCACACACGCGCGCACACACACACACACACAAACACTATTCAAGCATGCACATACAAAGGAAGGAAGCTTAAAACCCTAAACATCATGGAGTTTGACAGAGGGACCTGTTGGCATCAAAATCCAAGATATATCTTATTTAAAAAGTAATATAAAAGTCATCAAGCAACCTAAAACCACATTTCTTCCTATATTTCACCTCTCTACCTTGTCATATTACAGCTTGATATGGGATTCCCCTCTGTACGTTATAAATATGTTATATGTTTTGTTGCCACTGGATAATAAAGAAGCTGCTTCAGCCTACGGGGCAGAGTACAGCCAGACTGAAAGACTTATAGAGAGAGAGTCAGCAGAGCCAGGGAGACACTGTGTAGCTTCTGAAGGAGAGAGGAGCCAGAACCTTCCCATTAAGCTGTAGTCTCATGGAAATACGCAGATGACTAGAAATGGGTTAACTCAAGATGTAAGAGCTATCAATATGCCTGAGTCATTGGCTGAACCGTGTTGTAATGAATGCAGTTTTGTGTGACTTTTCGGGTACGGGCAGCAAAGAAACAAATGAGCAGTCTCCAGTTACAGCAGCTTGTACTGTACATACAACTACTTGCAGATGTTAAGCAAACATCATCCTTATTAATTTCAAATACATTGACCCTACAACTGTTCTCTCTTTTTGTTTAAAAGACATAAATAGCTTCCAACTGAAGGGCACCTGAACATGAAAGAGCACTCCCGCAAAGCATCTCACGCAGCACTCAGAGCTGAGAAGTAGCGGTGCCTATCATTCCCCTGCTTCTCAGGACCCTCTATTAATTTACCATGGAGTCGCCATGTGGAGACAGCAAGCACTAGAACTAAGGAAAGCTAAGAAGACATTCATCTTAAATGAGATCTGTTCCAATTAAGTATACTTCCAGAAAGGGGGAGAAACAAAAAGATGTACCACAAAATGTTAGGAGCCTATTTTTTGGAAAGAATGACTTGTTTATTTATTTTATCGTCATTTCTCTATGATAAATAATATCATTATAATCATGAAAAGAAATCCCTTTAAAGATAATGTCTTCATCCTTAAATGACTTCTAAGGTAACAAGGCACCTAACTAATCGACAGTGAGAACGTGTTAGACCTCACCTGGTTCATCAGTGAGAAGGACAGGTTCAGACCTTGGGCTACAAGGATTGAAAATCCCATCTTACCACTGCTATCCCCAACCACCTCTGGTGATATTTTCATTCACATGGAGATTTGGTTTAAAATAAAAATCTGTTATATTTAAGTTACAGACTTCAGAAGGAAAAATTTACGATGTGAACCTGGACAGTTGCCATCCATCTCTGGCACCTCCCAAAGCTGCTGGTGGTCCTCCCTTCTCTTCTCCACCCACAGACCTCTGCAACAAAGGAAGTGTGGAGGTGGTATCCATGAACGTCTGATCAGATACCCCCTGAAGAAGTGTTTCTGCAGCAATAAAGCGATGCTCAAAATATTCCTCACAGAATTACATTACATTATATCTACCCTATCACTTAATTCTGAAATATACCTACTACACCATGAAAACGCTACCACCCAAGGCCTAAAGGAAACCCCAGACGCTTTCTCCTGAACTAACTCATTTGCAAAAGAAATAATTATAGAGTCCAGTATTCCAAAATCTCTCTCCAATACCCTCCAAGTCATAAAATTGGCATATTAATATGTCTGGTAACTGATGCTCTATTCAGTTTTGTGGCAAAAAATCTTATGAAGCTAATCAGAATTATTCTGAATTTTCTAACTTTATGCATGTGTTCAAACCCCTCTCTTGTAGTCACATAGGAGATCACCAGTGCCACAATGACATTTGTGAGGCATTTGTATGCCATGTGGAGATGTATTTGCTGTGATTGGTGTAATAAAAAGCTGGATGGCCAATAGATAGGCAGAGAGGCACATGCAGGATTTCTGGAGAGAGAAAGGAGAAAAACATAGGCACACAGGAAGTCAATGAGACATGGAGAAAGTAAGACAAACAGAATGAAAGGAAGGTAAAAAGCCACATAGTAAAATACAGATGAATAGAAACAGGTTGATTTCAGTTGTAAGATCTAGTTAGGAACAAGCCTCAGCTGTAGGCTGACGTCCCGTAATTAAGTCTGCATGTCATTATTTGAGGACTGGCTGGTGGAACCGAAAAATACTTGTTACCAACAGCCTGGGTGACTTACTTACAAAAAGCACTGGCCAATAGACTCGCTTACTGTTATAATTAGGTCTTGGGGATACAGAATCGTTAACTTCTTAGCATAAGCCTTACAATTGTTGACTTCAAGCCTAAAAATTATTCAGCAGCAAATTTTTCGGCTTTACGTTTCTGATGTCCTTCTTGTCTTCCTATGCTTGATTCAGAATGGAATTCTAGGAGACCTGGTTGTAAGGAAAGACTGCTGCAAAGGCAGGTGACAAACCTTTGGGGTTTTCTATTTTCCTGTAACCACAACATGTTTTTTTTTTATAAAGTTTAGCTTCTGCTGTCAATAAGTTAAGATTAGATTCTTCTCTCTCCCCGTAAGTACGCAGCCCAGACAGGTGACGAGAGCTAGGCCCCTTGGCCTACAGGGCACACTTTGTTCTCTTCCACCACCCACCCAGGAAATAAATAGTGGTGAATGCGGAGACTCAGAGCTGCTCAGTACGCTTACCATAAATGAGGGTTGCGACTTCAGCATTAGCCTGGGCACTATGATACCACTTCTAAGACACAGGAAACACTGCAAGAGTGGAAGGAGGCTAAGAGCTGCAACATGGGGGGGGGGGGGCTGCAAAATGCCCTCTGCCTTCCCAGCGCGACAGGGCCAGTGACAACATGGTCTCTCAGCAGCCAAGGTTGCCTGCACCAGTCTGGCCCTGTCAGCAGCCAATCATGCATTGGGATGGGCTCATGGCCCCCTACTCCTCCTCCCCGTTAAACTATTGGCTACTGGTGAATTCTAGGGAAAGAAAGTCTCCGTTTGCATACTGGGCTCCAATGGATAGTTCCGAACCCCTGGCCATGCAAACCGATTACAATCCAGGGGCAACAAAACAAAAGGCATAAATGTGGGAAAGGGTTAGCGGGGGTGTGGGGGACACAAGAAAGGAGGGGTTAGGGAAACAGGCAGCACTACGTGCGTGTATGAAACTGTCAAAGAACAAATTTAAGGAATAAAAAAATTAAAAAGACAATATTTAGTTTTAAAATCTCTTAGTTGGCTTTATTTGTAATTCTAGAGTCAAGCAAAGCTCGGGTCTACAAAATAGAATGGTTGCTCCAATGAGCTGAGCAGAGGGGTTGGCATCGCAGACACAGAAGATCTGAAAACCAGAAGCACATCACAGGAAGGCTGGTCACGCAAGGTCGCCTTCCTCCGGAGGTGGAAACAGGGAGATAGAAAATTAAGCCACTGGTCGAAGCAAGGCTTACCTTTGTGAAAACATAATTATAGCAAAGTTCAGTCTGTCCAGCTGAACTGCCCTGTCTTGAAACTCGGGGTTCCTTTCTTAGTCTCCTAATTTATCAGAAAATGGGGGGGGGGGAGTAGTAGCTGCGAGGTGCTGGAGAATTCTGGTGAATGACTCCACTTACACTTATATCACTGAGCCACACATTTTCTATTCATTTATATCACTGTATGAAATATGACTCTGCAGTGGAAAGCTACATCAGCTGAGGTCACGGTTCTCAGAGGACGAAGCCACACAACTGTCTGATAAAAGAGCGTGTGCTTTAGAACATGTGCCGCGGGGTGATTTCAGCACACCCCGTCACACCTCAGCATGGCTGCCTGTGGGCACTCAGATCCTTCTGTAATCACAAAAGACAGAAGAACGGGTAAGGGGCAGAGGAAAAATGCAGAAGGAAGAGGAAATGAAAACAGGGAAGTTCTTAATTCATTGCCAAAACAAAGTGTTCTCTTAACATGCCCTAAAAGGATTAAGAGATTTATAAATGACAAGGAGATGTCAGGCTTTTTTCCAAACACGACTTCAAAGGCTCAGGATGGAGATGGGAAAACCTATCAAGAATTGAGTTAAAAAAAAAAGTTTTTATTGTTTTTATTGTTTCCACGAGGGTTATGTTGATGAAGATCATTATCATGAAGGGATGTTGTATTTTGTCGAAGGCTTTTTCAGCATCTGATGAGATGATCATCTGGGGTTTTTTTTCCCCCAGTTTGTTTATATGGTGGATTACATTGAGGGATATGTTCACTATTATGGTTTGTCTTCATTCACTGGATTGTTTGAAACGTACATAACATGACAGCATGAGGCTGTTGGCCAAGACTAGTTCAGTAGGAACTTTGTTGCAAAGCCGTTATTTAAATCACAGGCATCACTGAAGGTAAACACACTATTAAAATATGCATATATAGAGGAAGAACAAATTTGACGAATTTGACCAAAAAAAAAGTTTATCAGATAATTATAGTGTCCCAGAGATGTGTGTTTATTAAACTGCACGTTTTAAACATTATCTTTTTTAAAAAAATAGATAAATAAATCTTTTCATTCAACAAAAAGCCAAAGACCGTTCCCAACACTTGGGAACTCTTCTTCAATGCCAGGCTCCTAAACTAGCAAGACAGTTCTCTAATACTAATGTACTGTCCCTTCAGTAAGGAGTGACACATCCCAAAATATTGTCTTCAGTACGTGTTGAATAGCTAAGTAGCTCTCATGGAATGCTTGTGATACAAGAAACGATGCTTCTGCATTATCTCATTTCGTCCTCGTTCAACCCTGTAAGGAAAGACTCATCCTGTGCCCTAATTAGCACTTGTTCAGTCACATAGTCCGCTAGCGATGGGGAAAAATGAGTTTCAAGTGATTCAGCCACCCTTTAGGGCCCTTTATGTGATGCACCACACCTGGGAGAAATGATAAGAAGCCGAAAACACAGCAGATTCCACTCTTGTGTGGAAGCAGGTACGTGACAGGCAGACCAGGTAAGAAGTAGTTCCTTGGCATTCTGCTTAAAATATAGTTTCCTTTCCATATCAGTTAGAAGCTATTACATAGAGTATTCTATTGCTATGTCCCAATTGTTGCTTTTCCAGGAAGTCCAGGAGTCCTCTATCGGGTTTTTCTGCAAGTGTCAGGAGATTTCTCAACAACTGTTCAGAGAAAACAGTGGTTTTTATGCTGCCAATGACACATAATCAGTTAAAAGAGATGGAAAGAAGAAGGTGCCCCCAGAGTGATCTTTGACACCCAGACATCAGCTGATGCCCATTCCATGTTAGAATACTTCTAAGGCAAGTTCCCGAAAGAGCATCCCCATTGTCTCAGTGTGTGGGTGCACCCCTCATGGCCCTGAGTTCCTTGCTTGTGCTCTCTCTCCTTCTGCTCCTGATTTGGACCTTGGGGTTGTAGTCTGGTGCTCCAATGTGGGACTCTGTCTCTGTCTCCTTTCATCGCAGGGAACCCGGTCTGTTCTTCGGGCTGATGAGAGAGGGGGAGTTGATTGTGGGAGGGGGAGGGATATGGGAGGTGGTGGCGGGGAAGAGACAGAAATCTTAAATAAATAAATAAATAAATAAATAAATAAATAAATAAATTTTTTTTTTAAAAAAAAAAAAAAAGAATACTTCTAAGGCTTCCTAGGAAGCAGAGGTCAAAGTCTCCACTAGCCAGTCCAACTTTCTTTTCCTCCTCCTCTTCCACCTCCTCCCCATCCCACCTCCTTTGCCCTCTTCTCTGTCTTTCCTACCTCCTTACCTCCCTCACATTCTCCTCAGGTCCTATTCTGGATGCCCCCGAACACCACTCAAGTCTCTGTTCATCAATTTCTCCTATCTCCTGCCCTATGTAAACTTATATTTTATGATCATCTATTTCCTTGTTTTCTCCTCCCCACAGTCTGTGAGGTCTAGCCCTGAATCTTGTGTACTTCAGTAGCCAACACATAAGAAATATCGCTTGACAAAAGACATAAAATAAATACCTGTTTGACTAGTGTGACAGTCGCATTATTCAAGATGTAGAAATGTATAGGAAACTCCCCCAACTGATCACTAAGACACAGAGCCGTTTGCTTTCTTATCTCCTTGTCTGGGTCATAACTGAGGGCTGGGCCACATTTTCATCCAATGCCTCAGGGCTAGAAAGTGGAAACTCAAACGCTTCCCTCTTGTTCTTGTTTGTTTGACTCTATTCCTTTTCTATGGGTGTCAGCCTTACAAGAAATGGTTTTTCTCCTACATAGCAGCCAGAAGTTAATAATTTCAAGTTGCTGTCATTTTTTCTTGCAGCCAATGCATTATTGATCTGATATGCTGCAAAACAGTTGCTGTGTTCACCAAATGCACACACACACATACACACACACACACACACACACATTAAAAACCTGCTAAAAATACCTACCAATGGCACCAAGATGAAACAGAATAGAACTCAAGAAAATGAATCACAGTTTCATACGTTGATCTACAGCTGAAAAGGAAAGAATGCCTGTGATTGTACAGCAGATAAGTGAAAATGTCAGTGCCACAGAGGAAAAACTATTAGCCAGCCACCCACATCTATCTCCAAATCTAGTGTAACTGAGAAACAGCCACAGATGCAATCAATAACTCGTCTAGCTGGGAAGGTATAGGAAGGGTGGTAGCTGCAAGGAACTGCACACCCAACCCCTAAACGTCCTAACAGTCACCCATAACTGCCCAGATCAAACTCTGCTTCATCTCCAGGAAGCTAGGAAGTCCCACAGAAAGGCACCTGTGCAATTGTGGGGAACGGTAAAGAAGGGAGCTTATTTCGTCTTAGATTCTAGTTTTCCAAACATCATAGATTTGTTTTAAAAATAAAATAGTGGATACAAGCACGTTAAAGACTTTTCTTTAACCACAGCCTTGTGTCAAGATTCTCTTAAAAACAAGGTCCGCCTCCCATTACCCTGAGCTATTATTCTTCCTGTCACAGACAAAAGCCTAAAGGCAGGTAGGAAATGACTTGTCAGAGAACATCATCAGTTCCTGAAAGTAAGCAGACTCAAAGGAAAAAAAAAAAGAAAAATTCTGGTGCTCGGTGATATGGTGATGTCAAAGTTCTGCTAAGAGAGGCCAGTAATGCAAACTTTGATCTTGGTCTTGAACCATTCAGCTAACCCTGAGAAGCCTGAGATGTTTCTTAACTGAGATGTTCATGCCTTGGAGCAGGCCCTCCTTGACTGTGATGAGATGAAAACATCACTCTCCAGTTCCCAGTTGCCAGCCAAGAAAGCTTATCGCTGCGAGAGCTGCTTGCTATTCCTCCCCATGTCGCCTTTTCTCTTTCTTTTGTGTTCCCACGGCAATCTGAGTTTACAGGACATTCCAAACTGACCCTGAGATGTTCATACGCCCTCTACCTGCTCCTGATGTCTACATTCAATGGTATTGGGAATATGGAGTTCGGCACAAGGTTTGTTGGAGGGTGTAGAAAAGTCTAAAGCGTTTTAATCATGCACTACCTGGGTTCTTTTTAGTGGATACTGTGGAGAGGATCAAAGGTTTGAGGACGTGGTTCCTAGTTCCTCTTTCACAGCTTACCTACCAGGTTGCAATGAAGGAAGCTCCACACCCAGCTCTCTCAGGCATGCTGCCTGACTAGCTGCTTTAGCACAAAGAACAAGTCAGGGGAAGCAGTGAAGTGAAAGCATCTTTGGCTTGCTAAAATCCTCGCCTCTACAGAAACACACTCCAGCATAAGCTCCTGTGAGTCAGACATGGCATCCTCCCGGCAGAAACCTAGTCTCAACTCCCAGAAGTCCTCCTAAATTTTAAACATGTGCAAGGTGATTTAGGTATAGAGCACTGAGTGCCACGTTGGAGGATAGATATATGTCACTTTGATGTGCCGGTTGGGAAGGACCACAGGCTGTGACTCTTCTGTGACTGTTTATGACTAACAGCAGGAACTTTCACCCCGCGTCTTCTGGATTTCTGAGACAGTTTCCACCCCTTCCAATTTTTCACAAGTATGATCTCAGCTTTGAGGCTGATCTGTGGCCCTGCAGGACAAGGAGTTGACTGAGTTTTAGCATTCCTGGGGACAAATATGGACAGAAATAACCTGACGGAATCTTCCTGTCCATCAAAGCTGTCTAACAGTGGAACATAGTTTTAGGAGCCAAGTGGTTTCCTGATCACTAGAGGTGTGCTGGCTTTTCTTCTGTGTCTTCAACGTGTGTTTCTAGTCACAATCGCCCACACCTTTCTTTCCAACCACTGACATTCTTCGCCTCATTTCCAAAATACATTCTGGCTTCTTCGGAGATAGTAAGGCTCCGCAGGAATGTTTCTAGTACGCTGAGTCGCACAAAAGGAGAGAAGGGAAAAGGCACCTGGTGCAGGGTTATTTGTAATCTGCAGTTATCTAAAACTCTGCTTAGTAACACCCTCAAAGTAATCATTTACAGAGCACATTTAGTTTTCCGTATAAAGTAAACTGCTTTTACTTCTACCTGAAAAGTAAGTCAGTTATATAGTCTACCTATCTGTCCTCTGTCTTTTTCCTCTCCCAACACCTCTCTCTCTCTCCCCCCTCCCTTCCTCCCTCCCTCCTGCCTACTCAACTGTGAATATCTTATAATTACTATTGTCATCATCCTTCAGGATCTGATGTGGGATTCACCTCTGCATGCTGTGGTTATGTTTTATTACCATTGGTTAATAACCTATTTGGGCCAATGGCTTAGCAGAATATAGCCAGGCTGGAAGAGATATATATAGAAAGAGTAGGTGGAGTCAAGGAGATGCCACGTAGCTGTCAAAGGAGAAAGACACCAGATCCTTATCAGTAAGTTCCAGCCTCGTGCAGACACAACGATTAATAGAAATGCCCGAATTTAAGATGCAAGAGTTAGCTAGAAATATTCCTAAGCTATTGGCCAAAGAGTGTTGTAATTAATATCGTTTCTGTGTTGTCATTCACATCAGGGTGGCTGGAAAATGAAGGAGGAGTCTCTGTCTACAGAGATCACTCTGACTGGACATACTACTAGAACGTTTTCATGCTGACTTTTAGAAAGGTGATCCATGTCATCTTCTTCGGCCACCTAATAGCATCCATATGACCATGATGTGCAAGGCTATCCTACCCAATGTACCATCAACTCTCAGCCTTACTTAAAGGTGGAAGCAACTATTACAACTTGAATTCCATTCATTACACCTTGAGCATCCCAGAGTGGGCTCTGTCAACTTCGGCAGATTTCTTTGGGCAATCTGACTTTTGGCAATTGTCAAGGAAATAATTTATTAAACTCTCATGTAATAATACATTATACAGTAAATTTAAGAAAAACGATAACTTGCAATAAATTTAGAACTGCAGGCATTTTATATAAAATGCAACTGGCTTAATTAATAAATTCAATATGTAATAAATAGATAGTATTCTCTTATCTCCACAAAGCATATATCTCCAGACCCTTAGTGGAGGCGGGAAAGCCATGGAGAATACTGCACTTCAAACATGCTAGCTCTTGTCCTGTACACGCATACACGAATGAATACCTAGAATAAAATGGTGTGGGACAATTCTGTATTCTATCAAAATAGGACAAATATGACACTATTCAGTAATGTTATACAGTTTTGATTGCCAGCTTCATTAATCTCATTCTTTGGTCCATTATTAAGTAAATAAAAGTAACATGAACACAAGCGCTGTAGCATTCCCAGTAGTTAACATGGTGAGGAACAGGCAGAGAGAGCATCCATGGTGTGGATAAAGTGAACTAAGTGAGGACATCCTGGGAAGAATATGGTACTATTTTATGAATAACATAAGAATTAAGCTTTCTGTTTCTTTCTTGCTTCGTTCTGAGACTAAAAGACAAAAAATGCTTCTAGCCCATTTCTTATATATAAAATAAGATAACAATGTTACCTTGTATCATTTGCAAGATTTCTGTCCCTGTCATCTACAGTTCTATAAATACTTTCTGTTTGAGAAGGAGGAGGGAGAGGAAAGAAAGCGTGGCTGACAGGTCAGGCCACCGTAATTGAACCTCCTTCCTTGGAAAACCCCATTCATTTTTATTGAGGAAAGCAACATGTATGTGTATACGAGTCACCATGCAAGACGGAGAAATTTGACATAATCATAATTCTGAGGGGAGTTTTGTAGAAAGAAAGTCTTTGAAGACAGAGATGCTAACATTTGGCTTTGGACTTTATACAATATCCATTTCCATATGTCTGGAACATGTATATAAATCTAGAGACACAGCAGCCAACTGAGACCATAGAGTAGCAAACAAGAGATCAAAATCTCACAACAGTGGATAATAAAATGTAAAAAAATAAGAATCACACAGGACCCTAAAAGCATTCATGAATTAGCCTCATGTGTCTCTGTGTGTGTGTACTAACACAAATTCCTACATAACTACTAATATAAACCTGATTCTAAATTACATAGAAACCTCACAGAGTAAGATTAAATCAGACTCACATAATTATTATCATTATATAGTATTTAAAATGAAATAGAGTTGTCTTTGTCCAAAATGATTTAGTGTAGTTAGACATTAGATAAGAAAATCCTAGATAAGGGTTTCCCACCATAACCATGAACAGATCCTACTGCAATGTAGAACATTTCAAGTCTCATCTTTTGGAATGTGTTGAATGACTTTGCACCATTTAACACCACCCTTATCTCTTTTGATGACAATGTTTTGTGGGAGGTTTTTAGTTAATATTTTTTTTAACTTGGATTATTACAACAGCCACAGTCTCTAGATCATTCTCTGGAGAGAAAAGAAGAACCTTTGCCCGGTGAGGCTAGTCATCAGGGCAGCCGTCCAGAATCAGGACCAGTCTTAGGATGATGACAGTAGAGATGGAGTTTGAACTTGCAATAGATAGGACCGCCCCTGGAGATACCCAGGCATCCAATTGTGAATTGCACCATTATTCAAAGATATAAGGACACTGGTTAGTACAACAAACTGGAATATTTTCCTAAAGTGGATAAGGAGAAGGCAGGGTATGAAGAGACATGTTACCTGAGAGTAGAGAAAGAACATTTGGGTGAGGAAGGGGGCAGCAAAAGGGGAAAGAGCAGATGTGCTACAGAAACCAGGGCATGAATTAGAATAAAGCACGATGACATATGTATGAAAACGCCAGAAGGAGCCAGGCGGTGGTGTCGCTCACCTTTAATCCCAGCACTCGGGAGGCAGAGGCGGGCGGATCTCTGTGAGTTCAAGGTCAGCCTGGTCTACAGAGTGAGTTCCAGGTCAGCCAGAGATACATAGAGAAACCCTGTCTCAATAAACTAAACAAAAAGAAAAAAAAAACAGAAAACAACAGCAAAATGAAATACCATAATGAAGCTCACTAATTGAAACTCTAATTTTAAAAAATAACTGAAAAGGTATAAAAATAATGCGTGATCTCTTAGGAAATCCCCAAACTTTGCTCTGTTGCCAATCACGGCCCACAAAGAAGGCCTCTGTCCTTATTTCCTTTCCCCTAATACAAATAAGAGCAATCTGAGAATACAAACATAGCTTATTTGTGCTTCCACTTCCTCCTACTCTTAGTCATTGCTCCCACAATGCACTTGTGCCACACACACACACACAACACACACGCACGCACACACATGCACGTACACACATGCTCACGCGGTACAAACACACGCAGGAGCAGAAACACATTTTTTTCAGTTGAGGATTTAATCATTCGGGGGACTGGAACTCCTTTTCATTGTCTTTGTTCCTCTATTTCTTACAGTCTTTATCTTGGGCTTTTCTGAACCTTTTGAAGCTATTTCTGGAACCTCTTGAAGCAGCCTTTATCTAAATTCCAGATCTACCACTTTTTGGCTGTGGGTCACAGGCACTCCCTAGAACTCTGCCTGGTTCCTGATCTGTGAAGTAGAGATATGGAGAGCTCACTTCAGTCAGTGCTGCTATGAGACTGGCGAGAGCTGGGCAGCCCCTAATCTCTGTGCTTCAGAGACTCAGTTTGCTGGGGAATTAAATGGAACATCTGAACACTTAGAAGGGTCTTCATAAAGTCTATGACCGTTAGATGTTAAATTAATCACTAGGACAATTTAAAGACATGATTTAAAAACTTGTTGAACTTGAAGCACTATTCCTTTTCCAGAATGACAAGGATTTATTCTTTGCTAGACAGCAGACTGTGGACAGCGTGCAGTGTATATGTTACATAATGCCATGCTCTGCCATTGCACGTGGGCACGTTCTTCTTCTGATGGCTGCCTTTGTAAGGTTGTCATGAGGCCACCCCAGGGTAGGTAGGTTCCTGGTCCATTCATTGGTCAAACTGTGTAGTCAATTTTTTTTTCTTCTCTAAATTTAGGGTTAATCTATGGAGATTACATTAGAGGGAGAACAAAATCTTCAAACTAGATACTAGGCTCCCTGTTGGATACCCTGCCATCCTTTGTCTGCATGAATCACTGCTCTGGGTTGTTCCATCCTTATAAACTCCCCGGGGGGGATCTCCAGCTCTGACTCCTCTTGCAGATTATCTCCTGGTGACGTAAAGGCCATCCTCAGCCCACCCTTTTCCAGCTACAAGAGGCAGGTGCTGTAGAGAGACACGTCATGCGTTTGCCTCCCTCACTGCTAACCTCTCGAGGAGAGGCCTTTTACAGCCTGAGACCTCATCTCCCTTTTTTTTTTTTAGCACATAACTGGGCTCAGTTCCTCAATTCTCACGAACCACTGCCTTCATTGCCACAATTGCTCAGCATTAAAAAAAACCTGAAGAAATATTAAATTCCTTCATCTGAGAAAGTAAAGAGTGGCCGGGAGCACAGATGTTGGTGACCGACTGTAAGATATTGTGGGCATGGCCACAGCAAAGTCATGAGCAAAGTGTCCTGTAATGGAAACTCAGTGCCATTAGCCGCAACCCTCCAACGCTTAAATATGCCTCCCCCACAGGTGTAACCATCTTGTCAAGGGGCTGCACACCTCCTCAAATACCTCTTGGGACATAAAAGAGTTTATGCACATTCTCACGCCCACCCAACAAGGCCCCAGCCTTGTAGAAAGTCCAATGAGCCCGATCTACATGTGTGTTTCCATTTTAAAATACTTTTGCAAGGCAGGAAGTGGCACTTTCACTTCTGCAGTGGGATTCCCTGCCTGTCTCCCTGAGAACATAGCATCACTGTGTTCCTTTTATACTCCTCCTCCTCCTCCGATTGAGCCAGTGGTGGTTCCTGTGCAGAGAGGCACAGCGCAGCTGGCTAGGATCCACTAACTTCACAGCACCCACCTCACTTTTACTGCTTAATAACCGGCTTGGCAGACACTGATTCAGCAGTCACCGGGATGCTGGTGGGAACGGTCCATCACGCTTAGTGTTTCTCAAGAGGAAAATTGTCTGGTGGTTAGCATCAAGAATGAGTCACAAAGATGCCAATCCTAACCCATGCTATGACTCATTCGGTGACCCTTGCCCTACACTCTCCACCCTGGGTTTCTCAATAGATTGGGGTACACCCCTCCATTTGAGACCCATAATAATGAGCTATACTTAGAGACTATTTGCAACCTGACTAACGTTGTGAGACCTCAAGTGTTCAAGGTTATTTGTCACCCGCGTGAAGGCATAAGTAGACGTTCCTAACAAATGGTTTCCTAAAGGTTAAGCATCTGTTGAAGAAAGGATGCACCTAAAGCCTTTAAGGGTCTGATTCCACCAGTCGCCTTTTGCTCCTGACCTCCAGAGATGTGTAGGCCCAAGTCCAGCCACCTTAACCACCTCGACCAAGCTTTTCATTGCCCAAGTCTACACTACACGGTAGAAATGTAATGTAGGCCATTCATGAGAACCACATGTATAATTTTTAAAAGTTAGGATTAATTTCAATAATACACTTATTTAACATGTTCACAAATATTCGTCACTTTGATGTCTAATCAACTTCAACTGTATTAATAAGCTCTTTTTCTGCTTTTTTTCCCCTCATACTCAATCTTCAAAACATGATGAGCATCCTACACGTAGAGCATGTTTCAGTTCACACGAGTCACAAACGAAGTGCTGTCATAGCCCAGTGTGACTGTCAGCTACCTTGCTGGACAACATAGGTCTGCGCCATCATTAGCGCCCTGTCTTCCCGGTACATGTCAGCATGAGCTAGTGTGCAAAACTGAAGAGCACAGAACTTCCTGAGCCTGTTACAGCCCTGCCACTGCTCTTAAATGCTCTACAAGCCCTTTCTGAAGATGCCATTCTCCCATGCAGTAAGTATCCTCAGCTCTCTGTTCTTATTCTGAGACCTCATTCTGATTAAATCTTTAAAATCTTCTTTTTTCTGTTTACATAGGCTCCCTAAGTATGTCTGGGGAAACTATCAGTAGGGATTTTCTTATTACTTAGAAATTATCTTTAATTCCTAACATTTCTTCTTTTCTCCCTTTTTTGACTGAACGCATTCCAACAGATATTAGCTTCAAAGCGAGCACCCGCTCATTCCACCATCATCTGGTGACATCATGGGAAGAACAGAAAATTGTGGTGATTTTCACTCCCACCTACCCCCAGAAGCTATTGTAACTTTGCCAACATCAGTTTCACTCTCAATAATACTTTGCCTGGACACAGTGTCTCCTTGAATCTACTACTGAAATGTATCCCTTAAAGATACACAGATACCATGTTTCAATTTGCAAAACTGGTAAATTGTGGGTGGGTGAAATCCAATATACTCATCCAGAAAATTCTGGGGCTAAGAGTAACTATATTCCTGAGACTGTTAGAATCACTGCAAAAAATTAACTAGAACTACAATGGACACAGTACACTGTCCAATATGTAACGTGAATGTGCTTCAAATGTCTGCTGGTACTGATTTTTTCCTGCAATAAGTAACATGTTCTAATTATAATAACTCATAAGTAAAACTGAAAGTCAGTGACAAAACCAGAGCTACACCACCAGAATAGACTGTCCCACTTACAGATCCCTGTTTAGTATTTCTTGCAGCTAAGGGATGATGCCACCATTCAAATGAAAGTCAAAGAAGTGGCAATCACTTTGAGAAGAGAAACGAAAGAACAAAGATTTTTAAAGTAAAGAAAGAAGCAAGACAATGCATCACAGACAAGAAACTGTTTCAGAAAGTAGCATGCGTGTGTGTGTGTGTGTGTGTGTGTGTGTGTGTGTGTGTGTTTGCTTGCTTGAAAAAAATATGGTCAATGCCCTAGAACACTTTTTATCAACTTGGGATTTCTTCACTTTACAAAACGGGCTGTAGATGCCAGGACAAAGGCGTGAAATCAGCCGCCATGTGCTACAATGACCATGTGTTGGGTGGAGATCGCCTAGGCCCTCCTCAAAGCTCCACAGTATGGTTTAGATCTCGTAGCTGATCTCCATTTGCAAACTTTATCCAGTTCTTAGACTCCCCGTGTACTTAGCAAAGAAAAACATTATGACCAGATGCACAGAGAGGCCTTAAAAGAGAGAAGCTTGTGAGAAAGAGGGGGAACAACTGGCAGGAAAGAAACTAGATATTAACAGCCCTCCCACGCATCCCCAACTACACCCCCTTCTTCTAAGAGCAAATTCTCTCTGCCTCTGGCACTCAGATCTTGACAAAGTTTAGAACAAATCTTCCTGCTGCCCCCTCAGTTCACACCCCACCACACATACTATCACCAAGGAGGTCCTGAGAACTCAAAGGTAACATAACAAAGATAGCCAGGGAAGCAGAGCTAAACAGATCCACACTAGACAGGTAGCCATGTGTATGCGAACCACTCCCTCCTCCTGCCATCCCCAATGATGTCTATGTGTAGAGCTGTTAGGACTATGCAAACACCATACACTGACTCTGTGGACATAGTTCTTGGTTTAGCACACGAGAAGGAGTATCTGGGTTTGAGCCACAGCACCCACTTAAAAGCTGGGAACAGTGGTGTGCACTTGTAATGCCAATGCTGGGGAAGCTGAGACAAGAGGCTCCCTGGACTTGCTGGCTGTAGAGTGTACACCAACTAGTGAGTCCCGGGTTCCAAAGAGAGACCTTGTCTCCAAGAGAAACAAGGCACACAGCTCCTGAGTACTGACACCCAAGGTTGGCTTCTGCCCTCCCCCCTGCACATGTGTACTTGCATCCATATACATACATGCACTACACACACATGAACACACACCAGGAGAAAGCACACTAAATTTGACATACAATGTAAATATGGATTTTGCTACTGTTTAATTCAAATGTTTTATTAGTTTGAAAATTTCATACTTCAGTATTGTCTTCATCATCTCTACCTGTCCTTCTACCCTTCCTCCTTCCCAGTCGCTCAAATTCCTCTCAGGTTC